GTTTGAGTAATTGGTAACTTTTGGTTTAAAGTTTTTCAGATATTGTATTTTACACCACTGCCAATGGTATTTTGGGTATATGACCTACATCAATCTTTCCCTTTGAGTCCACTCTTTAAATTCGTTTCTCTGCAAGTCACAAAGTTTTTATAAGTTACATTCAAAATTTAATTAAACAACTTTACTATCAATGTATTATAATGTAATTAGCATTATCACATACATTATAATTTAAAGTTTTGTATTATGTAAGTTTGAATTCCTTCATTCCAAGGGAAACCTTTAAATAAAAATACTCAAACTTCAGTTTTGTTGTCAAGTGATGCACAAGCAATCACAGATCTTAACATTTTGTCTCTATTACTTGAATAATAGTTTTATGTACTCTGTACATGTATGTATGTATAGACTGAAAATATTCATACAATACTATTTATCTTCAAATTCCATCAGGTCAACTGGAGCTCACAAAAAATAAATTTGCTCACCTTTTGACAGTAGCCATGTCCACCTTTTTATTTGGACATGTTATTTCAAGCAACAAGTACTTACTTGATTGTCATACTTATTACCAACAGAAAGAGTTCATTCTGAACTAAAATCTCCAAATTGTTTTTTTAAAATTGGGACACAATATTCATTATTAAGTACATCAAACAGTCAAATAATTGTATGCTGATTTCACCCTCACTAGTACATAACATTGTCTCTCGCCTAGATACTTATTGGTAAAATAGACAGTTAAATTGTATGTAGGTTTTACTTTAATATTTTAGTTAATTATGTATTATCTATATTTTAAAGTTCATATTTAAAAGGTTTAATCAATCATTTTTTAATATAACCAAAATCTGCCTCAATTAGCGAGGGTTATCTTACTATATGAGTGCAAAAACATTTTGCTGAAGGCTTGTGTATTTCTACCAAAGATATTGTAACATGCCACAATTTTTAACCAACAGAGTTCAACACTCCCAATTCTCCTAATACTGTAAGCTTATTCCATTTTTTGAAAAAATTTATAGTCTCAAAATTGATATGAAGTTATTATCTCTTCTTTTTTTGTCATGTTCTATAATTGCTGAATTATTTTCAATTACTTAGATAAAAAGAAATAAAAATATAAAGAGCAAAAAGCACTTACGGAAGAAGCTGTAACATGTAGATCTCCGAGTAATTGATACCATTACAAGGGCCATTGGTATTATAAGTGTGCAGAACAATGTCACATCTGGCACTTGTTATCAGGATAGGTTCGCATTTATGGATTACACAGCTGAGTATTTCATTGACAAGTCTACTCCAAAATGGTTTGCTTTTCCAGCAATATGGTACACATACACAGAGAGGATTTATAGATGTGGTATCTTTTACAGTTTGATCAAAACATGTATATTATGTTATTATTGATTTCAAGTTCTGCTGAAGATTGAGTCATTCCCACTATATACAAAATATGTTAATTTTATCTTTAAAAATTGAAAATAGCTTAAATCACTGATGGGGGATCAGGAATATGGATATAAGGATCAAGGTGAAGTCTGCTTATTATCAGGCTAATTTTCCCGACTCTTTACACCATACAGAAATAATGACTTAGTATATAAATGAAGTCAAAAGATAAGGCTTCTAGTTATATCTCCCATGCAACTGTAGCACACTGCAAGCAAATAAAGAAGGAAACAAACATTCATCTTATTTCATACAAATATATACCAGTAAAGTCAATGAACATAGCACGTACAGATATGTGTTTGATAGGACTGTTGAAAATGCACTGGGAAACTAGTGCCTCACATACTAGGGGGATTATAGAAAGCCTGGAGCAGGGAGTGGTGTGTTTTGGACATTACAACCATAGAAAAAGACCCATTTGAAATGAAAAATATGCAGCAGAGCTGTTGTCATAAGGCATGTACTAACATGGGCTATAATGAAGAGATGAGGCTCTAAAATCATTTCAATATAATGTACTCAACCTCTGTATGTCACAGTATGTAATGCTTACTGTTGAATTGGTTACACTTTTACATTGATCTAATATAGTTTTAGTATTTATACAATGATAATCACCTTATCTTTACTAAATAAATGATTCTCACTAAAATCATGGTTTAAGACGTTTTAATGTCATATAGTTTGAAAATTAACATCTGAAACTATCTAAAATAGATAGAGATAAGAGATGCAGATTTTAAGTACAAACACAATAACCTGCATTAAATAATGGAAACTATTACACACTAAGTTTGTTTTTAAAACATATAGCATAATTTGGTTCAGTTGGCTTTGCAAAATAAATGTCAGATGCAACAGAAGCTGCTTATCTAATCCACCCCAATGTTCCAAGGTAGGAATGGTCAAGTATTTTATAATCTTCAAAGAAACATGCAGTTCTATCAACTTTAGAAGTTGATTATCTAATCCATCCCAATGTTCCAAGGAAGGAATGGTATAGTATTTTATAATCTTCAAAGAAACATGCAGCTCTAGCAACTTTAGAAGTTGCTTATCTAATCCACCCCAATGTTCCAAGGAAGGAATGGTCAAGTATTTTATAATCTTCAAAGAAACATGCAGTTCTATCAACTTTAGAAGTTGCTTATCTAATCCACCCCAATGTTCCAAGGAAGGAATGGTCAAGTATTTTATAATCTTCAAAGAAAGATGCAGCTGTATCAACTTTCAGAATTCAATAATACACACCTCATATGTGACTGCACTGTTTGACTGTTGTGTTATTTATATCAGGTAGAGCTAATATCGATGTTTCCAAACACTTCCAAGCTTGGCCAAGTTGATTAATAACACTGTTGAATGCTATTGTAAAATCTGTATCATGCCTAAATGTGCCATTAAAATATTTTTGATGAAAGACTGGGCATCTTGACTGCAGTTTCATACATTACTATATACTAAAAATACAGATATGGTTGCTTACTGCATATTCGAGACAGTAATATATTGTGTGTCGAACAAATTGTTTGAAAAACCTACCAGACATGTTCAACTCAGTTGTTTCATGTCTAAGATATGAGAGTAGCTTCATTGAAGATGGCAGCTTCTTACTTTTCAACTAGCTGGTTAAAACTAATGTCTTGGTTGATATACTTACACTTGGTTATGTACATTGTGAAATAAGTGATATGGTAAATGTATGCTAGGTTCAAAGAGTTCATGCATCATTGTATAACTTGTACATAATGGTGGCAATGAAATGGGGATGTATATTTAACGTTTATCAATTCGATATATTTTTTTATCATTTAATGTAAGCTTAACAGTTTTAGAATTATTATAATCAAAGATTATAGGAACATCCTTTATTCTAGTTCAAGAGGTGTTTTACACAACTAAATGGATCTTGAAAAACTAATAATTAAGAATATAAAGGAGGTGATACAAGATTACTATCAGTAATACTTTGTATAAAACAAGAATGAATTAAAAGCCCTACACACTGTGTAAATGCAGTAATATGATAAATCTAATAAAAATTATATACAATCCAAATTTGTCATTTTTTACCCTGGTGAGGATGCTTGCCTTGTATCCTGCATATGTATTATGTGCATCCTTAGTTGAAAGAATCTCTTCAGAATGAATAGCAGCATTAGCTGTGGTGTTCTATTGATTAATACAGTTGTGGTGGAATTTGTTTTAACTGTGGGCTTAATGCCAAATTTCAGAAACTGTATTTGCACTGACTGATAAGCTAGAAATCATTTCTAATAGTAATAGTTTGGGTTGAGTCCTAGTAAGTGATTTTCTCAAAATATTTTTCTGTGGAAAAATAATTTGATAAACTTTATTTGTTTGTTTGTTTGTTATGAATTTCACGCAAAGCTACACAAGGGCTAGCTGCACTAGCCGTCCCTAATTTAGCAGTGTAAAACTAGAGGGAAGGTAGCTAGGTCATCACCACCCACCGCCAACTCTTTTACCAACGAATAGTGGGATTGACCGTCACATTATAACGTCCCGGCAGTTGAAAGGGCGAGCATGTATGGTGTGACGGGGATTCGAACCCGCGACCCGCAGATTGCGAATCAAGCGCCCTAACCACCTGGCCATGCCAGGCCAAATTTTATTTTAAAACATTTTTACCAAGATTTTTTGTTTATTTGTCAATACAGTTAATTTGATTTGTATAAGATTACCTTGTCTACAAATTTGTGAACTTCAGCATGGTATCTGATATAGAATGACACAGTTCAACTGATGATGGCCTTGAAATAGGGTTGCAAACTTGTCAAATAAAAATTTTGAATGTGAAGGTAAACCCATTTTATTTTGAATCAGATATCTTTTATGCTAACATTTTACCATGGTATTGTTGTAGGTGATACAAAACATTTTAATGGATACAGAATTTGAGATAATGCATAAGAGCAAACCAAAACATTTGAGATTTGTGTTGTTAAATGAGCAATTTATTACTACGGTCAAATTTTGTGGAAGACAAGTTCTGTTGAAAGACCACCCATCAACCTGTTGTCACTTATCCTGTAGAATATTAGTGAATCACCTGTGGGACAGCAGATAATAACTATAAAAAGGAAATTTCTTTCCTGAATGAGAGTATAGTCCATTTCAGGATCTGAACCTGTATCCAGACATATTTATCTCTATGAGCAAATAACTATATTCTGTACATCTGTAGCTTTCTCAAGCATGATACAATGCTTGACATGGTTGAAGTACTATGCTAAAATTGCTTTTTCAAGATATGCATTTACATAAGTATATTAAAAAACAACAACACTCACATATATTATTATTCTAAAAACAAAATTTAGGTTATCTATAGAAACTGAAATAAAACTTATTTTGCAATGTTTCACTCACCACTAGAATAAGTTTAAATAGTTTCTAATGTCTTACTTATTTTTGATATATTATGGAATACTACAAATTATATTGTGATAAGATAAAACATTTTTCAGTCTTTAGGTTTCTTGTATATACAATAGTAGTAATGAACAAAGTGTAAAATATACTTGTCCCAACGGTCTCGAGTGAATAGTTGTTCTAAGTAGTCTCCCCACAAGGCCCAGGCCTTCACCAGTGTATCATGCATTTGAACAGCAGCACTGAAGGCTTTATTAGCATCTTCTGATTTTCCAATCTGAGCCAAAAACATGCCCTTTAAGGCATAAAACTCTGCTGTCATATCCTTTGAAAAGTACTTGAGATTGGTAGATTCTATCACTTCAAGACCCTGAAAGACAGACACAATGTTCTCATGGTAATTCTGGTTACTTCTAGATGCTTACCATTGTTCTCATGGTAATTCTGGTTATATCTAGATGCTTATCATTGTTTAAAATACAGAAATGTAATCATTAAATACATAATTTAACACTCTTAGGGGGCAAACTGACTATTAAACATTCTAAAGGTCTTAAAACACCAAATCTCTCATTAAAGAATAGGAAAATTATATCACTTCCAGTTAAATGATAATTTTTTGTAAAGCAATAACTGAAATCAGGTTTGACCTTCAGAAAAGATTACCTTTTTATCAAAGTTAAAATTATTGTGAATCTCAGTAGAAATTCTTCATCCAATACAGCACAATGACATAAACCAGTCACTGATACAGCACAATGACATAAAACAGTCACTGATACAGCACAATGACATAAACTAGTCACTGATACAGCACAATGACGTAAACCAGTCACTGATACAGCACAATGACGTAAACCAGTCACTGATACAGCACAATGACGTAAACCAGTCACTGATACAGCACAATGACGTAAAACAGTCACTGATACAGCACAATGACATAAAACAGTCACTGATACAGCACAATGACATAAACTAGTCACTGATACAGCACAACGACATAAACCAGTCACTGAAACAGCACAATGACATAAACCAGTCACTGATACAGCACAATGACGTAAACCAGTCACTGATACAGCACAATGACGTAAACCAGTCACTGATACAACACAATGATGTAAACCAGTCACTGATACAACACAATGATGTAAACCAGTCACTGATACAGCACAATGACATAAACCAGTCATTGATACAGCACAGTAACATAAACCAGTCATTGATACAGCACAGTAACATAAACCAGTCATTGATACAGCACAGTAACATAAACCAGTCACTGATACAGCACAATGACATAAACTAGTCACTGATACAGCACTATGATCAGAAATATTACATCATCTAGTTGCCAATACAACAACATAACTACTGACCAGAAAACTGATGTCAACAAGTGACAAAATCACTACCACGACTAGGTGAACTTCAGTCGACACAATGTTGACATCTACAACAAACCTAGACAGTATTATAAGATAAATTACAATTAACATTGCTAACTTAAACCAACCATCAACAAAGTACCTTGACTAGGCTAATCACATTGGCACTAACAAGCCACAAATATAGCATCATAACTTGGCAGATTATAATCCACTGAGTTGATATCAGCAAGGGATGCCAAAAAAAGCACTATTACAAGTGGTAGATTACAATCCACACGGCTCAGGTAACTACACCCAAGAAATATTAACTAATAAGAAATAATAAACTATATGTAATATTTTTTAAAAAAAGGAGATAGCCAATGCAAAAGTTTTTAAAAATCAACAGAAGCAAATAAAAATTTTACATATCAAAGGACAGCATTGTGAAATATTTTATCCTTTTAATTACAATTTTTAAATCAGGTTTTTTTTTTCACAATGAGATAGGCTATCCTTATATATTCTTAGTTAGATACAGTAAAAATTATTTTCATCTGCATAAACTAATTACTGAATGAATTGCTACATTACTTAGTCATTAAAAAGTTAAAAACTTAAAAAGTTCTACAACAATGGAACATTATGATCGCTTTTGAATAATACAAGTAATATATCAATTATATTAATGCGAATAAATATATGCACAACCTAAATTTTGCATCTACTAGGGTAGCTTGTAAAAGCTTAATTTATTTAGTATGTTCTAAATATTTTTTTGTGTGGGAGGTTTCAGTGGTTCATCATATGGATAATACTTTCTCTATAATCTCAGGCCTACAGAGAAATAAACTAAGTTTGTTTTACATTTCTATTTACTGAATCTAAATGGGAAACATTTAAGGACATACTTTTTAATTAAACATTATTAAAAATATATAAAAATAAAATCAACACAAATGTAATAACAGGAAAAATATCTTTTAAATGGGATGATTAACTATAATTTGATGAACTGGGATAAAGACAGGTAATTCATTTAATCAACTCTATTTACTTGAAAAAAAAAATAAACAGCTATTAAGAGGAACAAATAATTACCTCCTGAAGCTCATTTTTACCCATAACACTAGACATTTGGATGTAACTTTTTACTTGTTGTCTGATCTTTTGAAAACAGTCTACAATAGGCACACTTGGAATGGTATGAATCCTGGAAAGCAGAAAAATAACATTTTATAAAGAAGTACAAATGTACAAAAGTAATAAAAATAATGAGAATAGCAACTTCTAAAACTCACAGGCCTATTAAAAATGCAGAGAAAGTATACATATGTATGATATTCTTTATTTAAGGTAATTATTGAAATAATATACATTGATGTTAGTTTTGACAAACAGTTTAACTTGTCAAAACAATAATACCAAAACACACATCCAATTACACATACCAAAAATTAAATATAGCCCTCATTTTGAACTACTGATGAAAGTGATAGCAGGCACCAAGCAGCGCCTGTTACCATGAGTGTTCTGTTTGGATCTTTGAACTGAAGAACAGTGTCTATTCAGCAGCATCATATCTCAGAACCTAAATCCTTCAATTTGACATGCTAACCTTTAAATTGCACCAAGACCAAAAGAACTTATCAGTCTTAACTGTGTTAAGAAATTCTGGTACTATGAAAATTGTATACTAAATATTCAGATATTTTATTTATCTGTGATAACAATCATATTTATTGCATTTTGTTAATCCATACAAAATTTTTTCTGGGTATTTAAACTCAAATATCTACAAATTTAAAAGGTTATAATTTGTTATCATATTTTAATTTCAAGAAAAGCTTGAAAATTCAAATAGTTCATCTGAAAAATATCAAATAATTTATTGTTAATAACAATATAACAAAACTTTACCCACCTACTCAGAGAATCCAAACATACTCCAGTAAGACCATGTTTTCGGGCAATCCTACCATAGTGAATGATTGACTGGGCTGAAGCATGTACTCCAAGCATTGCTTGGGGACTTTGTTGGTCAGCTTGGTTACCTGGAGTGCCATCATAATGATCTATAATAGCCTGATAGTGGTGCTGTCGCCATGTGAAGATGTCACTCCAATGAGAGAGATCATCACTAAGCACAGGAAGACGATTACGCCATGTTTTCACAATGGCTTTCATATCATGAAGACTGTTTGCCTGGCCTAGATTAGTAGGAAGAAGGCCCTGGTGAATTTGTTTGGCTTCCTGCAGCTCCATTATCTGTTGGGCAGCCTGAGAACGATTCAAATTACTATAATAACATGTTTGAATTTCCATGAATAATTGTTGTTCAAATGACAACAAACTCAACTCTATTCCTTTTATGAAGAAAGTAAAATTTGCTCATGTGTTTAAACAGAAGTTTTGTCACAATCAAAAAACACATTAATAAAATGTTGATGTTTCAATAAAGTTGCAGAGAGTTAGTGGAAGTATTTTCATTCTAATTTGTTCATTACGCTCAAAAGTAAATTCCATGCTTTCCATTATTTTCTGTATTTTAGGTAACCATATGGAAAAGCCATGAATATCTACACACAGAAACTATATTGATTTTTAACCCACAGACATACTAAAAATTGTATTTTATAAGACACAGCAATAAACACAATAGTACTATCGAGGTACAAGACACTTGAAAAGGATATTAAAGCCTCGATTTTCTTCTGACAATGGTCAGAGTTTAGTAACAAGTAAGCCAATGATAATTTTTATTAACAATTTTTACATTAAAGTTTATAACAGTTTATACCATGGTTACTCTAAAATACTATATAAATAATTTTTGTAAAGAACTGCTGAACAGGTTACTCAAGCCTTTTACATACATATAAACGTATATATAATACTGAAATTCGTGTTCTAAATAAAGAACAGAAAAAGTCTTTAAGTATCGCAATAAAGAGAAAACATATTTTTGGAGTAACTGGTTCAGAAGATTTCTCAAATTAAAAATTTGGTTCTTCATATTGGCACTTATAATTTCAAGTTGTAATAATACTTCCATTCTTTAGAAAGTCAATTATAATACAGGTACTGCATAAAAAACTTTATCAGTTTAATACAAAAGACATTTTGAAAGCACATTACTGAACAAAACAAAAGACAGTTGATAAAAACTGTTTTATTATTAACGCTCTCAACATGGGCTCGATCAATTTGACCGACCACATGACCTCTTTGTACTCGTTTAGTCTTTATAGATTTAATACTTCTAACTTTCAATATAGTGTGTATATCTTAACAAAATTTGGCAGTTTTTCAGTGAAGTATTTTTAATAAACTAATATGAAGATTTGTTCATGAATATATTGAGTATTTGTTTTGAACAGTCTGTGTGCAAAATATTTTTTTTTCTGTTGACTATTGATGACACTTAACCCTACTATTTTATACTAATGGTAGTAGTGCATTAAATAATTTTTATTTAATGAAATAATGCACCATAGAACATAGAATAATAACATGCAAAAAACAGACAATTTCCTCTAACAATTGCAATTTTTCTCACTTTCTTACTATGCGACAAGAGCCATTACAGATTCATCCATGCTAGTCGTTAGCTTTCACGTGGGAATGAATCCTGTACTACAAGTGTAATTGATGATTATCTGTTCAGAATACCACATAATATAATACATCATTTGACAGATGAAAACCTTGACTTTCTATTGGTTATCAGTAATATACAATTAAACATAACAGAGAGCTATTAACAAATCCTGAAAGAGAGGATGTGACAGATGGATGTGGCAAGACAGGTCTGATTTTCTATTTGAAAGCTCTGTAACCAAACAAAATTGAAAGCTACAAAAATTATGGTTTGTCTGAGCAATGACGATTTTATGGTGAGTGAGTTACATTTAATTTTGTACTTATTGGAGGGGTGGTGGATAAAATACAGAAGAGAAGATGCATAGAGAAAATTTGTCATGTTTCACAATAGAAGAAATTCAGTTTTTTTTAATATTGCCTTGTAGAATTAGGAACTTAAAACTTGTATACTATTAAAATATGGATTATTAGCTAAAATTTAATGCTATACTAATTGGTATAACATAAACAAAAAGTAGTTTAATAAACTTTTGAATGTTAAAACATTAAAACATTGTGTCATGCGCAGTAAAGGATATCCACAGTGATAGGGTTATATCAAAAGGAATTTCTGTATAAACAAAAAGAATGTTACAAAAAGCTAATTCTTCTATTTCATAAAACATCAGTAATAATAAAAAATCCCAAATACCTGTAACATAGGCAGATGGATATGAGAAACAATGTGTGGTAATCGACGCCATTCTCTGATACAAAGATTTGTACAATACTCTACCAAACGATCAACTAGACTCAAATAATGATCTTCTGGATGACAGATGGCTACAAATCCTTTATACAAATTGACTCTCCAACTCAATTCTTTTGGACAGCTACTTTCCACCTAATCAAAAACAAAACTTTTCATATTTCTTGCCAGCCACAGCAAAATTATGCTTGAATATAGAATAATTTTGAGTTAAAATCAGAGCAAGGCACTTATTCCAAATGAATGATTTCAATGCAATTATTTCTTTATATCATTGTAATTTTTGACAATTTGATGAAACAGACAAACCACAAATCATTTCTAATTTATGTTTAATACAAGATATTATTTAATTTAAGATCAGTAGATCTAAAAATAACACACAGATAATTCCTAATAGTCCAGTCAATAATTTAATGTCTATCTAACAAATGCTAAAAAATGTCTAGATGAATTCTATAGTTAAAAAAACAAAATACAAATTATACCACCACTCAGCTCACCAATGTATTTCATGACAAAAAAAAAGCTTTTAATACATTATAATAGCCTCCTGGCACAGTAAACTAAGTGATTTTGAGACAACTTTTTTACATTTGTTGCATGTATATTTTCTTTACTAATACATGATGTACATTCAAGTTTCCAATTTAAGTTTTCTAAAAATATTTACAATAATCCTTGGCTCCTCTCATGGTTATTTTCACCATGGGGAGAATTCATTGTACAAAACAAAGGATAATCAGAAGTTACAATATTACAGCTATGACAAATCAAAACCAATGTCAAAAAACCATGTTGAACACCCCCTCAATTCACATAGACGGTCACTCATGAATAAGTTGTAAAAATGGAACATTTATGTATGCAACTTGAGCATCCAATAATCAGTCATGTGATCTAAAGGACAAATCACTGGTTGGCCATTTAGCTTAAGCTTTGTATTACCTGTGATAGTGCCTCTTTCATTAAAGTCCAGTTGGGAACCCTCCATGCACTTTCTAACACAAGATAAGGATTACTACAGCCTTTTGTATTTCCATAGTCCAAAAGTAAGTCCCATTGGTTCAGTTCTTTAGAGCATCTGTAAGAAAACCAATATCTGAAATTCCTGCAACATTCTACAAACATTAGCCTAAATGACATAATAACCTTATTAATAACACTCATCACATGCAACACTTCAACTTCAGCATTTCTTGAAACAGAGTTCTGGTATCTGTTTGGTCCTATATAGGTATATAAAAATACCACATATCAATATCAAACATTGGAAGTTAGATTCCTAAAACAGTATATAAACTTTTGGGTAAGTTCTATTAAGTATCCGTTCAAACATGATTTCTTGTGGGAAACATGAATCTGTAAGTAAACAGTAAAATTTAAATGGGTTTATCACATTCTTTTTAAAAGAAGTTTATTCAAGAAGTCTGTCATTTATAAACCAGAATTATATTTAGTGGAAATTATTCAAAGACATTTTGATCCACTGTTTTGAAAATCCTTATAAAAGATGAAAATGGGTATTCAGTACTCATTTTGTTGTGCAAGAATAGTTTGTACTCACTTGATCCAATGTTCTTCCCACATTCTATATTCACTCTGTAAAGCTGGTGAAGCTGGGGCAGTATTGTGCTCTTGTCTTGCTTTGCTCATAGCCAGTTCATATGCTCCTTGAGACTGATCATAGTATCCTTGCTGCTCATATGCTATAGCCATGTTGGTTTCTGAATATTTGGCTCTCTTCTGCCACAGCCCCGCCCATAAGTCTTCTTCCTTCAACATAGAATACATGTCAACCAAAGCATCTAATGTTTCCTGTTGAGGAGATGTTACTGGCTCAAACTCATAAAGATCAGCAGCAGCTTGAGCACGAGATTTTATCTGTGCTCCCATCCCCTTCTCAAAAGCCATCTGTTCTAGCATCAGACATGTTCTATGCCATAGATTGTGAGACTTGCCAAGGTACTGTTTAAAGTTAATAAAAAATTTAAATTTCATAATAACAAGTAAAATCAATAGATTATCACAATGAGCAATTCTAAACACATTTTAAAACACTGAAGTCTACTTGTGAAATTTGGTGAACTTCACATGGAGTTTCCATTTGATATTTGGGACTTGCTAATAAGTTCAGGAGCAATTTTATTTAAACATTTGTAAAAACTAATTTTAACCTTACATTTATTTTTGCATCATTAAAGTAAATGGCAAAACAAAAATACATTAAGTTATTTAAAATAATTTTTAAATGATATTTTCAGTAATTCTCATATAAAAATATAATGCAAACTTCTTAGGTAATATGCCAAGAATTGATAATTTTTTGCAAAAATGGATTTACAATCTGTTTGAAATCTCTCACCATCACTTGAACTTTTCATATCATATGTATATTTTTTGTCATTTCAATAAATGACACAGGAGGTAACCCTCTACAAGAAAGAATTAAGCTGTTAAATTACAATGTAACTTTTTTTCCAACGAATAATAAATTTGATTAAGCAAAAACTACAAATATCAACTTCTGGCATGACTAAACCCAACACTTAACACCTGAATTTAAGTATAAAAAATTCAAGCTGTTTCAGATTGATATAAAATATTCACGTAGATATTATAGTATAATGGAATGACTAAAAACATCCCAGTATTTTTTCTCTTACTTTCTCTACCCTAGCACTTACAGTAGAAAAGTCATCAATGTACAGTTCCAATTACTTACTTTCAACTGCTAACCTTTTTTTACATTTTTTCTTTTTGAATAGTTCTATTAGCATGCTTTGTACCACTACAATAGTAATCCTTATGTAAAAAGCAATAAATCACAGTAGGAGCCCATTGGCTACTTCCTGTACAGTTAAATCACAGTAGGAGCCCATTAGCTACTTCCTGTACAGTTAATGGGAGCTAGTGTCATATTTTACAATAGGAGCCCATTAGCTACTTCTTGTACAGTTAATGTGAACTAGTGTCATATTTTGCACAAGTGCTTGAGCTAAAGTAATTTTAAATGTTTTATTTAACACTTGCTATGGGCTTGGGCAATTTGACCTACAAATTGCCCAAAATTGACATTTTCAGTTTCCATACTATAACCCCTAATAACTCCACAAAATTTTGCAAGCTTACATTAATCATTAAGAGTCATTTGTAAATAATGAAATCTGAATTTTTAATGAAGTATTTTTTCTAAAAATTTCTCCATGAATATATGGAGTCAAAGTGTTTACTACTCTAAGTGCAAAGTGATTTTCATATTAAGATAAAAATACTTTTCTTCCTCTTAGAATTCTCAAATTTCATTTGCATACTCTCTAAAAGCTGCTAAATAAATTTCAATCATCTTTTCAGTAAAACTTTGTACTTTATTTGCTATTTTCTCTACCCTAACTCTATACGAAGTTAGTCAATTTGACCAATCTTATAATCACCATAAAAACATTACAAAATAAATCGATATTATTCTTTTTAGAATGACTTCAAATTGTAACATGAAATTACATTTGTTGATCCTAACAATTTTTAAACTCCAAACAGTATACATCTGTTTACAGTTCAATTTTATTGTTATATTGCCATTTGAACCTTGTTTAACTAATATTCCTCCCACACAAGTTGAAAATCACCTGGCAAATGTATAGCTCATGTTACCATATCAAATTATGTAAGTCATGGGCTACTCGTAAACATTCCATCGTGAAATTTTTTTATTTATTTATTACTTTCTTTATTGTTACCTAATCTAACCTAAAACTTTTCTAAGCTTCATATACAGGAGAATATGTTCTTCTTATTAGTTATAACCATGCCAATCAGCCATTTAAAGTTGATTAGCAAGCAATCTTGAACGTCAGAGAAATAGAGAGGAAGAGTTTATCTGGTGGATATGAAAAATTTAACAATGTCTCAGCAAATAAAAACAGTAGGAGGTTTGCATTTTACATTCTTTCTTGTATTTGTGTATAATTTGTGATTCTAATTGGTTGGAAACGACAGCTGTCTATTTTAGAAGTTAGAAAATTTTTAAGTGGAGGAATTCAGAGTTCAGACATGTCACATGACACAGGAAAATGAAGTTTGAGATTTTTTTACATATTTATTTTCCAAATTAAGAACTTAAAACTTGAAAATATGAACTATAAACTGTTTTCATGCCAAGTTTATTAATACACATTGATAATAATGCTGTTTACTTACATTTTGAATGTAACACTGTAAAAGGTTGTGACATGCATACTTTGACCAGGTCGTATGGAGGGAGGTAAATAAATAAATTAATTGTAAGTCAGTTCCCCAGTCAAACTCTTTACCATTAAAGCAAAATATTTAAAAATTAGTGATAGTATAAAATCCATTTATTTGATTTGAATGTTTTGTTTCATTCAGTTTTCCTTCATTTGACAAGCACTCATTCAGTACTTACAAATGCACCAGCCAACTGCATAGGTATTATGTTTCACAGAATATTGCAAGAGGGTTTTTGATTAACTGGGAGCAACAGTTTATTACAAACCATTACTACATGTTATTCATGTGAAACTTTTCAAAAGTATGTTTTAGAAACCAATACTTACTTTATCATAATGAAAACTATTTCTATTAATTAATATACTAAAACTAAATACAAATTGAAAATGCAGTGTAAGCTGACTACAAGCAATATAATTTCATAAATTTACTTCTTGTTTGCAAATTATGAGGGGAAAACTAATTAATTGTACTAGCAAGCCATTTTAATATCTATCATAGCAAAAGTTATTTAACCATAAATAGTAAGTATAGAATAAAAACTGATGATGGGTTTGATTATAGGGAAGTTACATTTTTATGGGGGTTTGTAAGACTAATCAATAATAAAATTTTCAATAATGACTGTTTCTCTTACAGCAGAGCTTGTTTGTTCATTTTTGATAGTTGCACAAAGCTATAGAAGGGTTACCTATGCTATCTATCCCTAATTTTGAACTAATAGAGTACAGGGAAGTCAGCTAGTCAACAGCACTCACCGCAAACTCTCGAGTTACACTAATCAAATAGTGAGGTTTGACTGCCACCCTTATAATGCATCCATGGTCCCAAAGAGACAACAGGATGCAAACAATGGACCTTGGATTCATAGGCTGGCACATTAACCATTATGACATGCTGGATCTCTTACAGAAGAGATTACATCAGTTCCTCTATCTGTTTATAACATAAGGAAACTCTAGTAACAAGACATTCAAAGAATTAAAGTGCACATATAAATAAACTCAAGACACTAGCATCCACAGAAAAACCCATATCTCTCAAGTAATACAGGTTGGCTGTAGTCAATACATTTTTTTAATAGTTTAAAAGGCCTACAACCATATTACTGTTTACTACAGACTCAATGAGATGCCTGCATTTTCTATATTTTCTCAATGAAATATTGTTATCTCATTTCTCTAATTTGTGCTTTTAACTTCTTTCCAGCAATACACTTCTGTATCACTGCACAAGAGAGATTGTATCAATGACACAACTTATTTCTTTCAAAATGACTCCCTGAAAGAAGGTGAAAGTACTGGGAAGTATAAATGTTTGTAGAAAAACAAGTTACACAAGATTATTGCCAAGTCCAGTCTGGGAGAAAATTATGCTAGATGCACAGAATGCAATCGTGACAGCTATATACACTAGCAGTTATACAGTGTACATCAATGCATAAGTCATTGTGCAATACTATGAGTAATTTAATAAAATTATGCATTTTCATGGTAGACATCAAAATGGGCTGACTGGTATAAAAACCAAATAAATACATTAGAAAAAAAATCATAAAAAAAATAGAATAAAAGCCAGATCATATGTTTATACCTATCAAACAAAGAATTATCCTTTTAACAAACACAGGATACCCGAATCACAAAGTAAAAAGGTAAATACAAATTGTTCTACAAGGTAATAAGATACATGTAAAAAATACATTACCAACCTTCAACAAACAAGGTCTGATTGGAACTGAAGGTACACAATGAGATAAGGCTTCCATAAATGTTCCTATAGCACTAGGATGACAGTCTTTTTGAATAACATGACTTCCACTACATAAGAAAGGTAGCATCTCACTAGCTAAAACCTGTAAAGCATTTTAAATACAGAACGCTAAGTTTTTTTTATAGTAATTCATACAAAGCTATACATCTTTATAATGATAATTATTTTTGCTTCATGAACTAAAAAGTTATAATTACATGCATTCAAACTCTTTTTGATTAAAAAAATTTAGAACTTAACATTTTAACATCAGATCACTAGATACATTCAGTAAATAGTCCTCTTTGTCAGTTATGGTGCTAATGTTTACTGGGCCCGATAAAAGAATGCAAGTTAGGCTCACCCTTTACATTTTCAAAAGAAGTTTAAAACTTATGGAATTAGAGAAAAACACATCATGTGGTTCATTCAAGTTTTTATGAGTATAGTACAGTTGTTTATTTCTTACTTTATAACTTTAAATGTGTCAGGGTTTTATATATGGGCTGAGGATTCTTCTACAGTAGGTGCCTGTGACTTGTTGGTGATAAATTCAAACAATAAATGACAATCACACAATACTCTTGTTTTAAAATAATATATTCAAAACAAGTCAAATGTATGTACAAAAATTATTTACACTAAAGAATGTCACAGTTGTATCTAAAACTCTAAATAATTCTTTTTTCTTGTCAAAGGTCTACATAGACTGGAACAATTATTTTAGAATCCAATTGACAAGACAAACTACTTTTTCTTTTTTGTTTCTTATTGTACAGCCTGCAGTAGGTTTACTTACATTACTCTATGGGTTACCACAGTTGTATCTCGAACTTTAAATAAATGTCTCCTTTTTGTCAAAGTCTACACAGATGGGTTCAATTACTTTAGAACACCCTTTGACAAGACAAATTATTGTCCTTATATGTATTATATTGTGAAACTCACTTTAAAACTTCATGTTTACTAACTTTTTCTGACTGAACTTTTACTTTCACTTCCCTTTTTATCTATTTAACTTGCACTTGTGAGACACACACACCTTGTTCACTGAGGCCTCAAACTTTCCACACACACACACAAACATACGACTCTTATCGAGTTACACAACCAAAGTTGTTATAACTCTTGCCTTAAAAATTAATTATCTTTAAATCTCTCTTGTTATGAAAAATAAATAATCATTAAATATTAAATTACAAAGTAAATTAAATAATAACTATTAAACTAAACAGTCTTGTATATCCAACGATAGGGTGTTTTTATATTGTGAAAAAATGAAACATTTTCAACTTCTTCCTGGATAATTTGCAGCTGCATTTTTCGATTATTACAAATATATGATTTAACAGAATGTACAACAAGTTTATGAGATATTGTGAATTACACTCCTGAAGATGATGTTTTGAAACATGAAGAGCTGATTTAAGACCATTTAATTTTATTTATCATTTTATAAGTGTCCATGGACGAATTTTATGCAGTGTTATTTGATTTAAGACAAACACAGATTATCTAATATAATAACATTTATGTCACTCACGTTTTGGAACACTTTCATTAACCACCCACCAAAAAAATGCACATCATGTATAATAGTTAAGCGAACTGCCTAAATGTCATGCAACACAAGATTATGGAGTTGGGTTGGGAAGTTCTCCCCCCACCCACCATATTCTCCAGATATGGCACCATCAGATTACCATCTTTTTTGTTCACTGCAACACCCTCTTAATGGGAAAACATATGCAAATGTGGAAGGTGTTAAAGATGACACTGACATGTTTTTTGCTTCCAAGTCCAGTGACTCTAACCCTATTGCACCAGGTACCCTTTACTGCACATGACACATTCAAAATTTTATTAAACTACTTTTTGTTTATGTTATACCAATTAGAATAGCATAAAATCTTAGATAATAATCCATATTTTAATAGTACACAAGTTTTAAGTTCTTAATTCTATAAGGAAATATTTTAAAAATCCTGAATTTCCACTAGTGTGACCCACATGACAAATTTTTTCTTAGCATATCATCATCTGTATTTTATCCATCACCTCTCAAAAATGTACAAAATTAAACATAAAATACAAATGCTCAAACAAACCAAAATTTTTATTGTCCTCAATTTTGTTTGGTTACAGAGCTAACAAATAGAAAATCAGACCCCTCCTGCCACATCCTGTCTTTCACAATTCGTTGATAGTTCTCTCTTACATTTCATTATATATTACCTATAACCAATAGAAAGTCAAGGTTTCCATCTATCAAATGATGTATTGTATAACATGTTTGTGATGGTATAGCTTTTTTTACTTATAAAAGCTATATGTAAACATTTTTTTCAGTCCTTTCATATTCTACGTTAACTTTCAGAATGCCAATGACTATAAATTAATAGGATGCGTTTGACAAAATTAATTTATTGTGTATTGGATCTCCAACTAAAATTAAAATGGGATTTGCATATGTCTGTACTTCTCTTGCTTCTGTTTTCTCATCTGTGTATTATAGGTGCATCAGTTAATTTACAAAATTATATTTGTAATACGTTTGCAAATCAACAGATAAAAGTAAATAAAGAACAAGCCAGAAAAAAAAGGTCCTTACAGACTGCTGCCTCTCACTAAGAATTTTCCAAAGTCGTGGAAAGAGCTGAATCCAGAGATACTGAGCCAAGCTGGTCTCCATGTGGCATAACTGGATTGTAGCTTTCAAAAAGTTTATTGTCTTCACATCTCTTAAGCTTTCCAAGAACTTAGCTTGACGGGAAATCCACACTTGTAGGTTCTGCCGAGGATCAGCCAAGCTTTGACGAGATTGGCCACTCATTGTCATAGTACCTGTTGTTTTAACTTGCCCTTCATCAGTAGATAATTCAATATCAATTTCCTCCTAAGACAAAAAAACAGAACACATAAATATATAAACACACACTAATATTAGTATTGATGATTGTTGCTGTATTAATTTACACACGTACCCATTTCATTATACTTTTTTATTTTATTCAAGGACAGTATAAATCCATCATGTGTCAATTATATTCAACATAGCTAGCTGTTTATAGTTTTTTTTAATTCTGGCTACAAATGTTATAAAATGTGGTAGTAAGCAATGCCTCACATCTTTCACTTCATCTGATTACTGTTCCTTTTGTGAAGTAAAAAATGTAATTTGTTTATTAACATGTGATATATATATGTGTGGGACAAATTTGTGGGTTAATGTTATTGATTTTTTTTGTAGAGATTTAGATAACAAGTTTTATATCCTTGCTTCTTATATATACTCTACAATAATATATATAAACTAAGCATTTCAAAGTTAAACATATTAGCAAAATATTTTAATGACATTAAATTTTCAAAATCATCATGCTGAGCACTTAATTTCCAAGATTATGAAATTTAGGCTTAAGGTAAATAATTTAAATGATATAATTAAAAAAATACCAATAATAAAATCATCATAAATAGCAATTAATTTTAAACATAAAATTGTTAATGATTTACAAATTCCTAAAATTTTGCATGATTCTTTAATAGAAAATATTTTCCCTTTAAAACATTTAAAATCTGTTGTTAGTTTTAAATATGAATACCTAATTACATAAATCTCCCATTAAATTTCGTTTTATTTCTAGTCCAGTCAATACTGTATTGAAACAACCTGCAATTATATTAAGCAAATTACTGAATCAGTTAATTGTTAAATTACAACAAAATGCAAATAATAAACATGATTTCTGGATAATTAAAAATAATGAACCAGTCTTAAAAACTCTAGGAAATTTAAATAAAATGGAACTAGCAGACACAATCGAAACATACAATATCATTACAATGTTTACGTCTATACCACTTAATGATTTGGTAAAAATGATAAATTCATCAGTAGATCAATTTATAGATCTGTCCATAGAAAAAAGAAAAACAAACTTCCACTGCTAATAAGACCAAAAGCATATTCAGTTTTTGCATACATAATAATTATATTTAATTTGATAAGTACATTTATAAACAAATAACAGGTATATCGACGGGTTCTAATTATTCAAGCTGTATTACTAATTCATATTTTTATTACTACAAAAATAAATTTGTAGATAATTTTCCAAATCCATAATTATTTTCCTTAACATACAGATATATTGATGATTTGATTAGTATCAATAATCCAGGAATAAGTAATTATATTAGTAACATTTATCTTACAGTTCTTCAGACTGAGAACACTTCTATATCAAATACTGAAGTATATTATTTAGATTTAGACATTAAAATAATTAATAATTATAGTAATCAAAATGGTGTATTTAAGTGTTTGACACTCACAAAATTATAGTAATATTAATATTTATGATAAAAGAAATGATTTCATATTTCAAATGTTTGGACTACCCTCTTCAAACAGTAATGTACCAACATATGCCATACAGAGTATTATACACTCCCAGCTTTTTAGGTATTGTTGAATTTGCATTAATGTACAGTGCTTTATATCTAATATTAATATATTAGTATATAAACTGATATTTAATGGATTTGATGAGAAAAACCTTAATTAAATATTTTAAATTATTGTATAATAAATATAAAAAGTATTTATGTAAATTTAAAAATTGTAATTTATACAAAATTATAATATGCACAATAAAAAATAATTTCTAAAATTATTGTTAAGGAAATAATTGAAATTACTTATTGGGCATTTCATATTTTATATAGATAGATTAATGTAGTTATATTACCTTCCCTATATAAGACTGGCTACTGTGTAGATCTCTTTAGAACAATTAAAGATGCAGATAGTAGAATGGAAAAAATGGAGGATGGGAGCTAAACCAATAATTTTTAGTTTGGCTTAGTATAGTAATACCTTAACATCTTGGTATTTATATCCAAGGGGCTGGATATATTGGGGGCTGGAATGTTAACTTCAAGGGCAGTTTTGCTGTTTATCCCATTGATGTTTTGCATTCTATTATTTCTTTCTGTTTATTAGGTGGTAAAGATGTGAGGTGTTGTGGGCTAGAGCACAGATATCAGCTCCTTTGTTTTTCTTTTCTTAAACATATGAGGCCAGCAAAATTGAGGTTAAACTGGATAGATGGTGTACCCCCAAAGCAATTTGGTCTTACTTCTGCCAGTACCTCAAAAATCTAGGGCACATTACATAATGACCCACTTGTGCCCTGGTATTGGATGTTTGTATTGTGGCTGCAATATATATATATATAAAAAAAAAAAAATTTTTTTT